TCCCTCCCTCTCTCCCTCCCTCCCTGCCCTTCGCCCCCTCCCGCCGGCGCGCCGCGGGGGCCGCGCCTCCGCGCGGCCTCGGGCAGCAGGCGGCCGGCGAGGCCCAGTTCCGGCGGGGCGCCCGCCCGGGGCGGCGGCGCGGGCGCGGCGGCGCGGCGCGGGCGGCCGCTCCAGAGCGGCGGGTTCCCCTCCTCGGAGGAGGGGGGGAGGAGGAGGAGGAGGAGGAGGAGGAGGAGGAGGAGGAGGAGGAGGGAGGAGGAGGAGGAGGAGGGAGGAGGAGGAGGAGGAGGAGAGGAGGAGGAGAGGAGGGGAGGAGGAGGAGAGGAGGAGGACGAGGAGGAGGAGGAGGAGGATCGATGTCCACGGTCGGTGCCACAGGCCATGTTCGTCGGCGCGGCGCCCGCCACGGCTGCTCTGGAGCGGAGAGCCCCTCCTGTCCGAAGAACAGACAGCAGGGCTCGACCTACAGTCAACCCGTAGAGCAAGGATGCGCGATCAGGATGCGAGGGCTCCTCCTCGGAAACTGGAACATCTACATTACCAGTGCGGGCTCTCTTTCAATCCCAGGACTTTGCTGAGGGTCAGGTACGACGTCGGGGTGGTGTGGTGTATAAATTTCCCCCGTTTCCCACAAGAAACAACGTAACATGTATACACCAGGATCCCGTATACACCAGGATCCCGATTACACCAGAATCCGCGTTCCTGTGCGAATTTCAGCGCAGGGTCGGGAAAAGCGTGGGTGTATAGAGTTCGTTTCCCTACCTCCTGTCCGGAGAACAGAACACAGGGCTCGACCTAAACAGGGCCGCCCCCCAGGGGGGAAGAGGAGGGCGAGGAGGAACGGGAGCAACACCGGGAGTCGCCAGGCGCAAGCAACCCTTCGCCCTCGAGGGCGCCCTTGGACAGCGTGGGGGGTGGTGCCTTTTGGTCTCCCCAGGGGGTGAGGGGCTGGCGCCGACGGCCGCGAGCACGACGTCGGCGGTGGGGGCGGCGGCGGTGTCGGCTGCGGCGACGAGCGCGTCGACGGCGGCGGCGGCGCGGCGGCGGCGACGACCACGGCTTCGACCGGCGGCAAACGACGACGGCGTCGACGACGGCCACGGCGGCAGCGACGCTGAAGACGGCGACGACGGCGGCTGCGACGACGGCTGCGACGGCGACGGCGGCGGCAGGGGCAGCGGCGTGGGCCGCCGGGGGCACGGGGTGGGGAGAGCTCCTGCGATCGGGGGGACGGACTGGCAGGGGTCGTCTTCGTTCCCCTCGTCCTCGTCTTCGTCCTCGTCCTCGTCGTCGTCGTCGTCGTCGTCGTCGTCGTCGTCGTCGTCGTCGTCGTCGTCGAGGGGCAGACATACCCCAACTCGGGCCGAGCCCAAGACCCTAATCCCTGTACTCTTCGTGGAAGGGGCCTCTTTGCTATTCGAGCACTGATCATGTGCTCTTCCCACCGCCCGCTACCCTTCATCCTGCGGAGACGTCCCGAGATCGGCCGGGCCCTCCCAACGCTGGGGACCTCCAGGGGCCTCGATGGGGCCGAAGGCAAGCAGCAGCTGGCGCAGCCCGTCATTCTCAGGGGGAGGAGGAGGAGGAGGAGGAGGAGGAGGAGGAGGAGGAGGAGGAGGAGGAGGAGGAGGAGGACGAGGAGGAGGAGGAGGAAGGAGGACGAGGAGGAGGAGGAGGGGGAGGAGGAGGAGGATGAGAGGATGAGGAGGAGGAGGAGGGGAAAGACGAGGGGAAGGAGGAGGGGGAGAGGAGGAGGAGGGGGAGGAGGAGGAGGGGGGGAGGAGGAGGAGGAGGAGGAGGAGAAGGAGGAGGAGGAGGAGGAGGAGGAGGAGGAGGAGGATCGGTGTCCACGGTCGGTGCAACAGGCCATTTTCGTCGACGCGGCGCCCGCCACGGGCGCGGGACGCCTCCATCCCAATGCGGAAGGTCCCGCCTCTCTCGGCTTCGAGATCCGTCCTCCTCCTCATCCCTCACCCCTCAAGCTTGGTCCTCACCCTCCGTCCAACCCCCACTTCGTCGTCCTTCTGCACCCTGCTCCTCCTCCTCCTCGCCCTCCTCCTCCTCCTCTTCCTCCTCTTCGTCCACTGTTCCCTCTCTTCGGCTTTCTGCTCGTCCTTCCCTCTCCATCCACGTCGTCGTCCTCGCACTTTGCCGTCCCCTCCTCCTCATCCTGCGATTCCTGTTCCCATGCACCTCCCGCTCCTCCACCTCACCGTCCTGCCTCCTGCTTCCTGCCTCCTGCCTCTGTTCGTTCCTATTATCAATACCATTTCCCTGCCCTCACCCTCCTCCTGCTTCTCCTCCCCATCCCCAGATTTCCAGGGGGGTCTGAAATAGAACTGTACATCACTTCGTCAACCCATCACTCTAGAGTCACCTGCTTCTGAACTGGCCTCTTCGTGACTGGCTGGGGATGCCCATCCTTGTAGGCGTCTCTCCATTCAGCTAAAATGAAATGATCAAGCCGCTGCACTTCTCCATGTGAGAAGGGGGGGGGGGGGGGGGGGCATTTCTCAAATTTGCTGCTGCGCGGCTTCTTCGGGGGTCGGCGCCAGGGGGGTACTTCGTCAAATGAAATATGATACGCCACCTCGAGCCGGACTGGGTCTTGCAAACGAGGCAGGGGGCCTCCTCGCCCACATATCTCTGCGCCGGACACCTCCGGCTTTGCTTTCTCATACCGTGGGGCAGCAAGGCTCACGGAGTGGCAAAGGACGGAGGGGGGACAGCACCCACGCACACACACACACACCCGCACACATCACGCCCACGGAGTCGCAATACAACAGTATCTGAACAAGCTGTCTCCACGAGGAACCAGCTTCGCGAATAAACAACTCGCTCCAGGTCTGAGGGTGTTCCGTCGGCGCGTCCAGAAAAATAAACATTTGAATTGGAAGCTCGTGAGCGAGAGAAAAATCGAGCAGTGTCGTAGTCGAGTCGAAGGGAAGCCCCTTCCCTTTGATCCCTTCCCCAGGGGGGGGGGGTCCCCCGGGGGGGTCCCGGGGGGGGTGGAGGGGGGGCCGGGGGGGTCCCGGGGGGGTTGGGGGGCAGATTCGTTTTTCCTCGGGCGGCCTAGAAACCTCGAAAACACTCAAAATGAAATCCGAATGCCCCAGATGGCCCCCGAGACGGCCCAAGAGGGCCCCGAGTCGCCCAAAGATCGGCCGAAAACGCCCCAGATAGCCCCAAGACCGTCCAAGAAGCCTCCAAGACGTCCAAGGCCCCCCCCAGGAAGCCCCAAGAGGCCCCCACGAGGCTTCCAAGCGGCCCCTAAGAGCTTCCCAAGAGCCCACAAACTACCCCCAAGAGGCCCCCAAGAGCGCTCGTCGTCGTCGTCGTCGTCGCCATTCAGGGTCGGCGGCACCGGCAGTAAGGCCTTCGCAATAAACATTTGAATTGGAAATCGCAATTTCACGCAAAAGTTCCAAGTCCGCAAGGATCAACCTTGCCCATGGGGGCCTCACTCCTTTTCACGGGCCAGTGAGACAACACGCGCCTGAGGTAAACCACCCGGGCTATTTGCATAATACAAGCAACTGCTGGCATACTTACCTGACTTCGCACTTGGACATCTCGTCGCCCAACTCTCCGGCATCGAGATTCTCCAGAAATCTGCCTTTCAAGGGCGCATCATCGCGGCATTCGAAGTTATGACACAATGTCGGCTCGGGACTACAATTTGTGCGTTGAGGAGCAAGCGAGCACGCAGGAAGGAATTCGCGGAATGGATCTCGACCCAGTCGCGAATCAATGGCGGGCCCAAGACACTTGAGACAAACGGGAAGTAAGCAGCATGTGTGAACGTATCCTTGTGTCTTGCAACAACCATTCACACCGTCCCAAACAAAATCATCGCGCCTGCATGCTCATGCCTGCTGGTCAACCGCAAGAGGTCGCCTGCCACTGCCTGTCACTGGGAACGACAGCTCACCAGCGTACAGACGAGAATCCAACATCTGATGGCTTTTCTTGAAGGGGCCCCAGGACACACAAATAAATACACACAAATACAAGGATTTCCCATATTTTCCCATATCTTTGGGGTTTTTGTCTTCCCGCCCACTTCCCATAGTTTCCCATATTTTCCTGGGACTCGACGATTAATTGTGTCTGTGTGTTTTTTCCCCTCCTGATTTCTACCCACGGAACTGGACAAAGGGCCTCGGTCCTCCCGCGGGGCCAGTTCATCTCGAGATTGCGCGAGGGGGAAGTCTCGACCAGCACGCTCAAAAACGCCTCGGACTGCTCTTACTCCATCTCCAGGCAGCACTGCAGACAAGCACGAGACAGTCATCATCCACAAACGCGCAGCCAGTCGAACTGTGTCGGTGTTCGTGCGCCTCGAGGCACTCGGGCCACAACTCGCGCGCTTGGGCTTCCAGCCCTAACGCTAATCCGTCTGCGTTCAGGCGGGCTTGCATCGCGTGCGGGGCAGTCGAGTGCACCGCGTTAAAAATCATGGCTCCCACCTTGCACCCCTGGCGCGCCCCCCCAGCCGTGGGCGCGCAACTTCGTCGAGAGTTCCAATGCTAAACCAGGAATTCGACTGCTACGAACACAGGAGCTCATTCACGCGTAAGGTCCACTTGGCACTGCTCAAGGAGGGCCCCTTTTTTCTTCGATCTGCTGCACAATCTGCCAGGCAACCTGACTGCCCACCCCTGCATACCAGACGCGCGCGCTGTGCGCGCGGCGGGAATCCGAAGACCAGCCCTCTCGCAACTCTGTCAAAAGCATTGGCCAAGTCAGCAAACAGAACGCATAGACAACCCGCGCTTTTTTTAATGCTCGATCAAGCTTTGCGCCGCGCGCGTGCCATGGTCAGCGCCGCGACGGGAGTGACGACGACGATGAAGGCGGCGGCTGTGGCGGCGAGGACGGCGATGGCGACGGCAACGACGACACGGCGACGACGACGAAGAGGACGACGACGAAGAGGACGACGACGACGACGACGACGACGACGACGACGACGACGACGACGACGACGACGACGACGACGACGACGACTGCAACGACGACGGCGGCGGCGACGACCCGAGAATTCTCGGCTGCCACTGGGGGGGGGGAGCTCCTGCCGGGCCGCGGCGGCGACGAGCGGCAGGACGTGAGGCAGGGGCCTGAGGAGCTCGCACCTTCCCGGGCGGAAGATCGGAGATGGACAGACCTCCCTTTAGTAAAACGTGGTTTAGTGAAAACGACCTGAGGTCCAAACCTGGCGGGCGCAAGCCTGGAAAATAACGGCCGCGGCGCCCTCTCGAGAGCCGAAAACGGACAATTCACTAATCGACGTGTCACTGTTGGGGGTTCTGTCCGCCCCCGAGAGGAAGGGGCGGGGGGCCCTGGCTGGGGCGGGGGGGCGGTATGGGGCTCCTGGGGGCCAAAACCACCCTCGCCCCAAGACAGGACCCCCTGGGGGTGGGGGTGGGGGTCCTTGCCGGGGGCGGGGGTGGGTTGTGCTGTCCTCAGGGTGGGACGGGGGGCGGAGGCGCAGTCGAAACGTGCACCGAGACTGCCCCAAGGGAGCTCAAGACAGCCAAGGCAGCCCCCGAAACAACGTGCCCTTGGGCCCGAGGCTCTCCGGGAACGGTGGGGAGGAAGGGGGAGGGATGAAGAGGAAGGGGGAGGAGAGGAGAGGAAGAAGCGGGGAGGATGGAGGACAGAGAATTGGGACGGATGAGGGAGGGCAGAGGGGAATGAGGAGGGCGGATGGAGAAACGATGACGACGGAGGACAGGTCAATGGAGGAAGACGGCAGGATACGCCGCAGGCGATAAGGGAACACAGGAGCGGCGGCAGCACGGCGGGAGAGAGTTGGCCCAGGGCGAGTGGGGGCCAGGGGAGAGGTGGGGACAAGCGATGCGCCACGTCTGGCATCCTATGTACTTTTCCCGTCTATCCCTCCCAACAGCATCATATCCCTCGCCTTTCGCCGAACGGGATGTCGAGTCAAACCTTGTTCCATACAATGTCACTTGCGGTGCTTCGCCTGTTGTCCATGGTCACGACGAGGGGCGAGCAACACCCCAACGGAACCAGGGAGCACGCAGGAGGGCGGGACGACGAAGGCGAATGACGAACGACCAACGAACGAGGGTCAACGAACCATGGACGAAAGAGGATGGCAGCGACGTCTACTGACGCCGTCAAGAAGCCCCCACAGGCCCCCCGTTGTCCCCGGAGTCCCCAGACGGGGCCTCCGGAGGCGCCTGCCAGCCGCGACATCAAGCCGCAGCGATCTACAACTCTGTTGCGACCACGAGGCGGCAGCGGCGGCGGCGGCCGCGAACGGCGAGCGAGGGCGACGACGACCACCGCGTGCCGCCGTCGACGGGGGGCGACGAACTGGAAGCCGTAAACAGCAACTTTTGGCGCTCCGCGTCGTTCTTGGATCTGCGCCAAATCCCCCCCCTGGTGCGCGGAGCGAGCCAGGGGCGGCGCCAGCAGCGCCGCGGGGGGGGGGGCCCAGTGTGGACTCAAGAACTCCGCACGGAACGCCCAGAAGTCGATGCTCACGTCGTCGTTTTTTTCTCTTCGGCGAGCGTCGAGCGGTTGCGGCGATGGGCGGCGAGGAGGAGGAGGAGAGGAGGAGGAGGAGGAGGAGGAGGAGGAGGAGGAGGAGGAGGAGGAGAGGAGGAGGAGGAGGAGGAGGAGGAGGAGGAGGAGGAGGAGGAGGGGGAGGAGGAGGAGGAGAGGAGGAAGGGGAGGAGGAGAGGAGGAGGAGGAGGAGGAGGAGGACCCGGCGGCGAGCGGCAGGCAGCGGCGCGCGCGCGCGCGCGGCGCGCGGGCCTCTGCCGCCACGTCCGCGGGCCCCGGGCGCTGCGCGCGGCGGCCCGCTGCGCGGGCGCGGCCGCGCGCCGGAGCACGCCGCCGTAGGAAAGCACCTCGGCCACGGAGCCGCCGTCGCCGGCGGCCGCTCGTGGCCGTCTTGTCGGTCGGCGGTCCTCCTCCTCCGCCTCCTCCTCCTCCTCCTCCTCCTGCTCCTCGGCACGCGGCGCTCGGAGGCGGCGACGGGAGCGAGGGGTCCAAGCAAGCGGGGTTGACTGGAGAGGACCCGCGAGAGGCCACGAGACCCGTCCGACGGCCACGCCGCCCTATAGGAATGCAGGAGGCATGTGTCGCCAGAATACAGGACACGAGGGTGCCCTTGTGTTGGCAGGGTCGGCCTACGAGTCCACCCCGACTGCACCTGTGGCCGACTCCGGAAACCCTGAACCTGCCACCTCTTGGGGGGGATGTTTTGCTTCCGCGTATCCTCCTTCTGCCCCCCTCTCGTTAATTCAAGCTGCGCGCGGCCCGCTTAGCTTCGACCGGAAAAAGGTGCGCTCTCGACCCGCGAACCAAACAAATGTGTTGTTTCCGCGAGCTTCCGCTGCCCTTCCGCCGGTGGAAAGCGCCCCCGTTTTACCTCCGCCGGGCCTCCGCCGAGGAAGAGATGGTAACCTCTGTGCCCCCGACCGACGAGGCCCTTCCTGGCACGCCTCCATGTGTCCAGGGGCGCCGCGAGTCCATGCCTCCGGCGAAGCTTCACGGCGAAGGCGAAGGCGAATGCTAAGTGCTCGCTCCGACCTTCGCCTCTGAGGCGCGCGGGCGCCGGCCCCCATCGCTGGCGTTCGCTCGTCGTTGTTGTCGTCGTCTTGTCGTCTCGTCCGTCGTCGGTCGTCTGTCGTCGTCGTCGTCGTCCGCTGCCATCCGCCGCCGCTGGCCGCCGCCGTCGTCGTTCGCCGTCGCCGTCGGCGCCGCGCGGGGCTCCCAAGTGATTTTGCTCGGGAGGCTCTTGGTAGCCGCCAAACTCTCTTGAAATGTTCAGGCTCCGGCGGGCGTTCCAGAAGTTTCCGGCAAATGGGGAGGAGCGGGAGGGGCATGGGGAAGAGGAGAACAAAAGAAAACGGCAAAAAAAGAGGGACGGGAGAGGAGAGGGATAAATAACGACGACTCAACGAAAACGACGACGACGGCGACGACCGACGGTCGACAATTTCGGCGACGGCGACTACGATGACGGTGCGCGCGCCGCCAGAACTGTCGTCGTCGGTTGTCGCCCACCGTAGACGCCGGTCGTCTTGTCGTCGTCGTCCGCCAGCGGCATCGACTTGGCTTGCCAGGCATTGCACGCCGCCTGGCTGTCCGTCCGTCCGTCTGTCTGTCTGTCTGTCTTCCCGGCTCTCTGAGCCGCGGCGCTTTGAGCTTCTTAGCTCGGGGACGCGTCGGCCACCGCCGCCCTCTCCCTTGTCGGTGGCCCTGACGAGGTTGGGGGAGAGGGTGCCGAAACGCGCCCAGAGTCCAGCAAGGCATGAGGGTGCAAACCCGACTTGTCTGGCTGATGCTCTGGGGAGGCCTGTGCTCAGGGGAGGCTGCAGCACCGCTCAACGATGTGCTGTTTAACCGAACCTGCAGGGTGGGCCCTTTCCCAAATCCGTGTTTCGGTGCGGATCGTAAGCGCGCCTCGCCTCCGTCGTCGTCGTCGTCGGCGTCGTCGTGGTCGTGGTGCGAGTTGCTCTGCTCGGGATTCTGTTTCCCTTATGCAGTGACCACCACCACCACCACCGGCGGCATCGAATGCGGCGCGCGCGGAGCGCGAGCGTTGGCATGCAACAGAAAAGGTCCTAAGGAAAACGGATCCTTGATCACGGGGCCTTCCCCCAGAACAGGTGTAGAATTGCTGGCGGCCCCGATGCCTGGGGGAGGCCCTGGAGGAGCCCGAAAACGGCGACCAGACCTGCAGGGCCCCTTTTCCTCAGGACCAGCTTCTCGTGACGAGCAATGTGTTCACGGCCCCGTCGCCTGGGGGGAGGCCCTGCTGGAGCCCGAAAACGGCAACTAGACCTGCGGGCCTCTGCTCTGCGACCAGACCTGCGTGCGGGGCCCTTTCAGCCTCAGGACCAGCGCTTCGTCCCGAGCACTGTATTGACGACCCTGGCGCCCAGGAGAGGACCCTGCGGGAGCCCGAAGACGGCGACCAGACCTGCGGGGCCCATCTTGCTTCAGGACCTGCTGGTTCCAGAACATTTGGACGAGCGCGTTCCACTGCTCGCAAAGGGACTGCTCGCAAATGGCCCGGGTCCCCCGCGGAGAATCCGCGATGAGTTGCATCACAGCGGACCTGTGCTTTTCCGGACGCTTGCGAGTGGGCACTCTGCGAGCAGTGGCACGCGCCAGGCGAGAACAACCACTTCCAACGACCGCTCGGCACGCGCGGCCGACAGCTGCCACCGACGACGAGCGGGCGCCGAGCGCTGGCACCGCGCGGCGCTCGCGCGGCGGTGGCGTGGGCACGCCGGGCCCCAGGAGCTCGCGGGCGGAGCGCGGGGGCGTCCAGCTCGGCGCAGGGGCCGCCTGCGAGGGGCGGCGCCGCGTCGCCGCCGGCGCCGACGGGGCCGCTTGCGGGCCTTTTCGCCGCAGCCGAGGGCGTCGCTGTCGTCGTCTTCGCGTCGCTGTCGTCGTCGTCGTCGTCGTCGTCGTCGCCGTCGTCGTCGTCGTCGTCGTCGTCGTCGTCGTCTTTCTTCCTCGCCCTCCCTTCCTCCCGATCTCCTGTGGGGAATGCGAGGAAAACTGTCAGGGGAGTGTCTGGGGCCGTCGGAGGAAACCCCCGACGCGTCGTGGGAGGACTTCCTGGGGGCCGTCAGTGGACCCCCCGGGGGACCGACCCCCATGGGGCCGTCAGAGGACCCTTCCGACGAGCCGTCAGAGCGTCCCCCCTTGTATCTCTGAATCGTGCCATTCGATGTCTTGGACAGCCCGCAGACCTTGTTCCTCGCCTCGTCCTCCTACATCTTCCAGCCTCGTCGCCCTCGTCGTCGTTGTCGTCGCCGTCATCATACGATGTTCAACGAACACATCTTGTCAGAAATCCCCGGACAACCCCCGGACAACCCCTCCAAGATGCATGCCATAAGCGTCCCAGCATGTGATTGTGGCTGGAGCTCGAGTGGCAGCACAATACCCGCTTAGGGATGTGGCCAGCGCTGAGACGAGGGCACCACGCCTAATGATGAGGCATGTGGCCAGCGCGAAGGCGACAACACCAAGCCCAGACAAGGATGTAGCGAGAGCTCGGGCGAGAGCACCATTTCCAATCACGGATATTGCTGGCACTCGAGCGGCAACACCATACGTCCCAAAACAAAGGATGTGGCCGGCGTTGAGGGGAGAGAATGCAGCTCACAATCAGGAGCGTGGCCAGCGGGCAGTCGAGCGGCATCTCCGAACCAGAGCTGTGAGGATGTCTCACTGCTTGGAACACCTCCGGTCAGAGCATCTCTGAGCCCAGAGTTGCGAGGATGTCTCAGGCGAAACTTGCCAGACAACTTCCTGCGCGGCATCATTGAGCCCAAAATCTGGAGGAAGTCTTATGCGAAACTGGCCGAACTACCTCAGGGCTGAATATATCGGAGCCAAGGAAGTTGCGAACATGTCTCATGCAAAACTGCCTGGACAACCTCGTGCGCGGTATCTCGGAGCCCAGAGTTGCGGAGATATCCCAAGCGAAACCGAGGTCTGGTCATATCGGAGCCCAGAAGTGAAGCCCAGAACTGCGAGGACGTCTCAGGCGACACTGGCCGCGCACGCTGCGTCTTCGAACCCAGACATGCGAGGGCTTCCCAAAAGAAAGTGGCCAGACCATCTCTCGCGCAGCAACTGACGACGACCCAAAAGGAACGGTCCTGACCTGAGGTGTTGAGCCAAACGTGGCGAGGCTGCCTCAGGCGAAACTGGCCGGAAAATGTCACGCGGCATCTCTGAGCCCTGAGTTGCGATAATGTCTCTGGCGAAAATGGCTGGACCACCTCTGGCGCTGCATCTCCGATCCCAGAGATGCGGGGACGCCGGCATCTCCGAGCCCAGCATTGCTAGAATGTGTCAAGCCAAACTGACCAGACCACCTCAGTTCAGCATCTCCGAACCCAGTTGCGAGGACTCTGGCGAAACTGGCCAAGCCACCCCGGATGCTGGCGGATGTCTCTGAGCGCTGGCCCCTCGGCCAGAACCAGTTTCTACCGCAACAGGACCCCAGTCAGCACAACTGTTTGGGGAAACGGGGGCGGAACGGGGACACGAGAGACGAGGAAAGGACAGGAGGGGAAAGGGGGGAAGAGATGCGACATTTCCAGCTGGGCTTCCCTAGTTGGGCAATGCATTTGATGGTATGCATGAACATGATATGTGCACGTGCTGGCAAGAAAACGCGACCCCGACAACCCCTTGGACAACCCCACAAGGATCCAGACCCTCCCGCCCGGGACAACCCCCTTGGACAAACCTCCCCAGGATTTTTTCCATTTGGTATACTAGTTCTCGTCGTCCCTCGCATCCTCTTCCTCTCCTGCTCAACCTTCTCGCCCACCCTCTCTTCCTCCCCTTCGCTCTGCCCCGCATCCTCCTCATCCTCCTCCTTCTCCTGCTCCTCCTCCTCCTCCTCCTCCTCCTCCTCCTCCACGTCCTCCTCCTCCTCCACGTCCTCCTCCCCGCCGATCCATGCATTCTCAGCCTACTACTCTTCCTGCTAATCCTGCAACCCTGAAGTCCTGAAGGCAGAAAGGCTCTACGAACGATGCCCTCCGTCCTCCTCCTCCGCCTCACCGGCTCCCCCCTCTGCCCGCGCTCCTCCCGCCTCCCGGCCCCCACGGCCTCCTCCCTGCCCCTGGGTCTCCTCCCCCTCTTCCCTCGGACACGCCCTCTTCCTCGCCCTCCCCCTCCTCTCGCCTCGCGCTCGTCCTGCGTCGTCGCAGTCGCCGTCGTCGTCGCAGCCGCCGGCCGCCGTCGTCCGCGGCCTCCTCCTCCTCCCCTTCCTCCTCCCACCCTCCTCCTCCTCCACCCTCCTCCTCCTCTCCACCCTCCTCCTCCTCCTCCTCCTCCTCCTCCTCCTCCTCCTCCTCCTCCTCCTCCTCCTCCTCCTCGCCGTCCTCCTCGCTGTCGTCACCGTCCTCCTCGTCGTCTCCGTCGTCGTCCGCGGCGAACCGCCTTCAGTAGCCCGCCCTCCTCCACCGCGGCGGTGCTGGAGAGGCGGGGGGGCGCGTGGGGGCGGCCGTTTTTTTGGCCTGACATGCTGCTCCTCTTCTACTCCTCCTTGACAGCCCCCTTCCCTCCCTCCCTCCCTCGGCGGGAGCGAGGATGATGGCCAAGGAGAGAGGGAGTGACAGAGAGTCAGGAGTGAGGAGAGGAAGGCGGCACGAGAGAGAGAGAGAGAGATAATGCACTGAGAAAGGGATGGGGGAGTCAAGGAGGGAAGGAGGAGGGATGAGGAAGGGAGTCGAGGAGGAAGGAGGAGGGATGAGGAGGAGGGATGAGGAGGAGGGATGAGGAAGGGGGAGTCAAGGAGGGAAGGAGGAGGGATGCGGAGGAGGGATGAGGAGGAGGGATGAGGAGGAGTCGAGGAGGAACATGGGGGGAGGATGGCGAGGAGGGCCCACCTCTGGCCCCCCCGACTGCCTCCTCCCTTCTTTCTCTTGACCGCCCTGTCACTCCCTCGCTCAGCTTCGTCATCGAGCAGCCATCCTCCCCATATTGTTCTTCATCCTCTTCCTCCTCCTCCTCCTCCTCCTCCTCTTCCTCCTAGCGTTTCAAACCCTTCCACCCCCCTGGAACCAATTCGAGTTGTGGATGCCACGATCATGGACACCCTGACAGTCTTATCATTGCCTTCAGCAGATGCTTAACATGTATGATACATGTTCCAAACATGTTTAAACATGGTTCTACATGTTTAAAACATGTTTAACACAGGTTGTAATATCTGAAAATTAGTTGGCAACATGCTTCCTCTCCATTGATCATCCTCCACACAACTAGAGCACTGCCTCACCCCTGAACCCCCCTCTTTTTTTTCTCCCCATCCTGGCATGCCCTGTCCTTGGCGGTCACCAGCGCGCTCCGCTCTGCTCCGCTCCCTCTTCCTGTTCCCCCATCTTATTCCCTCCCGGGGAGGGGGTTCAGGATTCGGAGGGGGAGGAAAAGGGGAACATGGACGGGAGGACGGCTGCAAGGAGGAATGGGCGATCAGAGGATGACGCCAGTGAAAGGTGGACTGAGGGAGCCCCTCCTGCACGACCCCCGAGAACGACCAGCGTGCGGACTCCAAAGCGGGCGGCGTGCCCCGAAAATATGCGCGTTCCTGTCGGCGTCGCCCGCGGCCGCGACGGCCGCCTGGACCGCGCCCAAGTGATCCAGGAACAGCTCCTCGCAGTGCCTGGGACCGCCCCTGGAGCTGCCCAGGGGGTACTGGTCCACCGTCGCCGTCGACGTCGTCGTCGTCGTCCTCGGCCTCGCCGTCCTCGTCGTCGACTTCGCCGTCGCCGCTTTCGCCGTCATCGCCGTCGGCGGCTCCCGGAACTACGAGGGAATCGTCGACCTCGCCGTCGCCGTCCGAGACCACCTGCACGCGTCAAAGAAACGCCCATCCTGGGCATCGCTCCGACGCCCATTCCCTGTGTTTGTTTCGGTTTCGTGCGTGTTTTTCGCCAGATGATCAAGGATGCTCCTCGATGGTCCTCGCCGAAGGAAAAATGAACACGTCCGAGCGATGCCAACCATCAGGCCCGACGAGGCGAAGAAGGCCAAGAGAGGCCCCCAGAGCTTCCACCAAGGGCCGCAAACAAGGACTCGCCCGTGGACTTCTTCTCGGCGGCGCGCGCCAGGGGGCACAGTATTCGGCCTGACCTAAGGAACGCTGAATAAGGAGCGAAGCCACATTTTTTCCAAGTGAGTCTACGAAGTCCGACGGAGCACCAGGGGAGATCGCCGCCAAAAAGGTAGCGGAACGCATGCAGACCCAAGAAACGACCGAGCCCCTTTTGACAAGTAAGTGTTCCTTAGTCAAGTCGGATCCTGTAGGGGAGGGAGGGCCGGGGGGGCCTCAGGGGGGGGGAGCGCTCGACAGGCCAGGGGAAGCTTGCGTTCGGACGGATGGGGTCGCCGGGCCAGGGTGGCGGCGGGGCGCATCCCGCTGCCAGTGGACGTCGCGGAGCAGGTCCCGGAGATGGAACAGGAGGCATAGGTCGGGCATGTCCTCTTTCGGGCGAATTTTGGGAGACGAATAGAACGTAATCGGACCGACTCAAACACTCAAAGAATGATCATCGTCCCCAGACGATGTTTTCCTATTCTTAAATGTCCCTCCTGTAGGAGGGACATGTCCAGCTTGACAAACCGCCGCGGACGCCCGAAGGAGGAGGCCGATCCCAGCCAGGCGAGGCGGCGGCCGACTGCGGCAGGCGGTGGGCGGTAGCAGGAAGGGAGCGTGCAGTTCGTGGCACGCGCGTGAGGCATCTCCACGTGCCGTGGAAGGCGCGGGCGCGTAGCGGAAAGCTCCGCGTAGCGGAAAGCTCCCTCGACCCACGCATGCCCTCCGTTTTCGGGCGCGGGGAGGAGGAGGAGGAGGAGGAGGAGGGGGAGGAGGAGGAGGAATGGAGACGATCAAGCGACCGCCCCCCCCAGCCGTCCCCGCGGGCGAAACGGTTCCTTCAGCGAGGAAGCGAAAAGGAAACCGTACTCCTCGAACTGGTCTCGAAGGGCACGGCGATGATAACAAAACTGCTGGCGGCGCCCCTCGCGCCCCAGCCGCCCCTAGGCGCGAAGCGAGTGCGCCCGCCCGAATGCGCGGCCCTCCATGGAATGACGCCACGACCTCCAGGACGAACCCCGCGATGAGCGGCGCGACGCCCCGCAGCGCGCCGCCGCTCCCCTAGGAGCTCTCCCCCGAGGGGTAGGGGCGCCGCTCCCTTAGGAGCTCTCAGCCGTATTGCCCCCCCGAAGAAGCGCACTCACGCCGGACTGGCCCGCCCGTCGCCCAGAGCGACTCCAGGAGGAGGAACGGCAGGCCGACGAGCACCAGGCCGAGGAGCGACAGGAAGGCCCGCAGCCGCCATGGCGGCCTCGGACGCCGTGAGCCGCGTCTGGGCAGCCGCCAGACGACTCTGCGCCCGTAGCGTCATGAACTTCGCCCGCTCGACTGGCCCCAGCGGCGGCCGTGGCTGAGCCAGCCGGAGTGGGGCAGCGCGGGCTGGCCGCGCGACGCGCGGCGCTCCAGGCCGCGGGGGCCCAAAATGGGCGCTCGCAGCGGCCTGCGGCTCGTCCGTGCCCTGCGTGGCCTCCTGCGGAGGCGCGGCCGCAACCGCCTTCAGCGCCTGCAGCTCCGCCTCGATGTCCGCGTTGGTATCCGCCCGCTCGAGCGTCAGAGGGGCCGTCGACTGCACCGCCACCAGGTCGCCCAGCACCTCCTCGGAGCCCGCTGGCATGGGCCCTCCACGATCTCGCTCTCGATCGCCCTCTCCGGCTGCCTGCGGCGGCGCAGCCGCCTCGGCCGCGGGCTCCGCCAGAGCCGCGGCCAGGGCGGCCCCCATGCGGGTGGAGACCCCGCCACGATGGCTGCGCAGCTCGGCAGACGTCGCCAGCGGCCGCTCGACCGCGCGCCCTTCGGCGCGGCGGTACTGCGCCCGCCGTTCGGCGGCAGACCGGTTGGGGCGCCGGCGCCGAGGTGCTGCGTCCACTGCCAGCCTGGGCAGCGCGATCGCCGCGGGGCACGGGCAGAGCAGCGGGCTCCGTGGTGCTGGCTGGAGGAGGAGGAGGAGGAGGAGGAGGAGGAGGAGGAGGAGGAGGAGGAGGAGGGGAGAGAGGGCCTTCGCATGCCCGGCGTGCGGCTGTCTGGGGGCCGAACACTGCCGCAGGCTCGCACAAGAGTGCGCGCCACCGTCCAAGGCAGGGAGGCGGGTGGGCGCGGCCTTCATCGTCTTCCTCATCCTCCCTCCTCTCCCCTAGGGGAACAATGGAGATCCGCGCGGACCTCAGAATTGTTATGTTTATGTATGTGTTCGTTCCCCTACTCATCCTCCCTCCCCTCCCTCCTCTGCGGTCGATGACCGTTCGCTGAGCACCCCAAGGCTCCCTCGTCAATCCGAACCCTGCTCCTCATGCTCCCCGCTTTTCTTCTGATTACTGTTGCTCCCCCCCTCCCCAATGTTCCTCATACTTCTTCCCATCCGCCTTCCTATTCCTTCTCCCGTCTCCTCCTCCTCCTCCCTTTCCCCTTCTCTCCCTCCCAGTCGCCCCGCCCGGCTGCCACCATGGTATCGCGCCCGTAAAGGGCGGGAAGGGTCTGGAAATGATCCGTCTGGGGGGGGGATGGACTCCTGAAGCGGGGGCTGTACAGTCGGACTTGATTGGACAGGACACGCGAGAGGACACAAAACCCTTTCGAGGGCCACATCGCCACAGGAATGTACGCAACATGGGTCGCGAGACACGGTGGTACCCTTGATCTGGCAAGGTCGACCTACTATCGGGGATCTTCTGACCCGCGTCAATCCAGATCCGGGTCAGTCAGGCTTTGCAAAATCCTGGAAAATCCTGAAAGATCCTGCACCCAAACCCGGGTCAACGCGAAGGATCCTGCAAGATCCCGCAAGATCCTGCGCCCAGGCCCGGGTCAATGCGACCCTGGCCCTGCAAGATCCTGCAAGATCGGGCGCCCTGGCTGACCCCCGTTTGCATCGACCCCCATCTCAAGGCTCCCGAACTAATCTGGGCCGCCTGTAGCCGGCGCTATGGTGGTCGCGGACGTGGTGGTGGTCCCCCCCTCTCCGTTATCCTCCCCTTTGTGCTCACAAGCCGCCCTTGGCCTCCATGCAGCGGACTACCCACGCGTCGTCCCTCCCCCCCATATCGCACTCCCGTCGCCCCGCTCGGCATCCTTCTCCTTTCCCTCCTCCACCTGCTCCCCCTCCTCCTCCTCCTCCTCCTCCTCCTCCTCCTCCTCCTCTTCTTCTTCTTCTTCTTCTTCTTCTTCTTCTTCTTCTTATAATTATTATGAGCAGTCTTCATATTAATCTAATATTAAGATTAATAACATTATTCTGATCATTACTATTATCCTCCTCCTCTTCCCCTTCTCCACCTCCTCTTCCGCCTCCTCCTCCTCCTCTTCCTCCTCCTCCCCCTCTCTCCTCCCCCGCCCTCTTCCTCCACAATTGCACCATATGAGTACCTCTCTTTGTTTTTTCTCTCTCTCTTTCTCTCTCTCTCGCTCCTCATGACGTCGGGAAAAATCCTGTCCTCCTCCGCGTATTGTTTTCTACACACAAGATTTTCGTAAACTGGGTTTTCGCTTGGTTTTTTGTTCAAAATGTCGTTCCCGCTGAAGCGCTGGCCTCATTTTCAGACTTCAGCTCGTTCCGAATCGTGCTCCTGCTCAAGAGCTAGCGTCATTTCCGCGCTTCCGCTCGTTCCGAATCGTGCTCGCTGCAGCGCTGGCCTTCCTTCCAAATAAGAAATACGCCCCAATATCTAAAACATGCCCCCCCCCGAAAACACCATTGGAAGTAATTACACACTCGGTGTCGGCGGTTCGTTGATTTCTGGGGCCGCAGAACCCCCCCACACTTTGGGGCGTCGTCGTTTTGGGGAAGTATCCAGCGGGACACCCGTTTCTGTTTTGAGAAGGCGATGTTGAAACCAGAGCCAGCGAGTGCCCTCCATCAGCCCCGCCTTGCGCAGAGCTTAACGGGGAGCCCAAGGAGCTAGACATGGAGCCACGACTCCAGACAGGCCCAGACCGCTCGAAGAGGATCCCCTTACCCTCCAAGGAGCCTGGCGCCATGCCATGATATGCTGTGCGGTGTTGTGTTCTGCGCCGCTGTGCGATGCCACGCTTTGCGTTGCAATGTTTTGTGATGCAATGCCTCACTGCTCAATGCCACGAAATGCTATGGCATGCTACGTTCTGCCGTGCTCCTCTACGCCGTGCTCTACCAGGCATCGCGTACCCTCTCGCTATCATTGCTCTGCTCGGCATTCGACTATGCGAATGGAAAAGATATCTACGGCATGATAAGGGATAACAGGGAGGGGTGGGACGTCAGGTATGACGCGAGCGCACCTAGCCTGTCCCCCCCCTCCTCCTCCTGCTCCTCCTCCTCCTCTTCCTTATCCTCCTCCTCCTCCTCCTCCTCCTCCTCCTCCTCCCTCCTCCTCCTCCTCCTCCTCCTCCTCCTCCTCCTCCTCCTCCTCTCCCTCTCCTCCGCCTCCTCCTCTCATCCTCCTCCTCCTCCTCCTCCCCTCCTCTCCTCCTCCTCCTCCTCCTCCCTCCTCCCTCCTCCTCCTCCTCCTCCTCCTCCCCCCCCTCCCCCCCCCCCTCCCCCTCCCCCCTCCCTCCCCCCCTCCTCTCTTCCCCCCCTCCCCCCTCCCTCATGGCCTCACCCCCTCCCCTGTCGCCTCCCCCCCCCCTCTCCTCACCTTGTCTTCCTCACCCACCTCCTCCCCCCCCCATCCCCCTCCTCTTCCTATCTCCCCCTTTCTCCACCCTCCGGTCCCCGCCGCCCGCTCCAACTCCTCCTCCGTCACCCCTTTCCTCGACGAGCGCGGCGGCCTGGTTTGGACGTACGAGTGCGGCGTCGACTTCAGCAGCGGCTCCAATTCCGTGCACGCCGCCAGCAGACCCATGCCTCGGGAGACGGACAATCAATTTGGACAGCGACGGCAGTCGCCGTGGTCGTCGTGACGTCGTGGTCGTCGTGGTCGTCGTGGTCATTGCCCCCACCGCTCATCCTGCTCCTCCCCTTCTTCCTTGTGATCGCCTTGGGAAAACGGGGGGCTCCAGGGCGGGATCGCAGACTGACCTTGACCATTTCTTGCCCTCCTCCCTCTCCGCGTGGCAGGAACAGCGGGAGGAGGCTTGTGGGATGGGTGCAGCGTGCGGGCGTGGGCCCGATGATCCCACAAATCCCTCCTACGTCCCACAAATCCCTCCTACGACCCCCTCTTCCTTTCGGGGATGGACAGACCCCCCTTGAGCAAAACGTGGTTTAGTGAAAACAACCTGAGGCCCAAACCTGGCGGGCGCAAGCCTGGAAAATAACGGCCACGGCGCCCTCTCGAGAACCGACAACGGACAATTCACTAATCGACGTGTCATTGTTGGGTGTTCTGTCCACCCCCGATCCTCTTCATCCTGCACAATCAACTCAACAAAATCCGTTTGATGCTCAACAGTCCCCGCGCACAACATGAGCCAAGGTATGGCGAACATGGAGAACAGTGTGTCGAACAACCCCCTCCTCCATCATCTCTGCCTCCCCAGGGGAGCCGAGACTCGAATCGATAACGCGGCTCGGTGATCGAAATGAATCGGATCGGCGGACATCGGCAGGAGATCGAAGCCCCCACGTCGGAATCCGAACTCGAATCGGCATCGCAACCTGTCGAAGTCGAACCGAATCAGAAGAATCGAACTGAGCCCTAGGAGGAGGAGGAGGAGGAGGAGGAGGAGGAGGTGGAGGAGGAGGAGGAGGAGGAGGCGGAGGCGGAGGAGGAGGAAGAGGAGGAGGAGGAGGAGGAGGAGGAGGAGGAGGAGGAGGAATGTCCTTCCCCCTCGGCAATCCTCCCGCGCTTCCCTCGGGCGCATACGAGCACGGATCCGGCAGCCGTGAGCGCAGTCCACCCGCAGGGGAAGGATGCGCGATGAGGATGCCAGGCCCTTTGGACGCCCATCTCGGAGCGTCCCGAGCGGGGCGCGGCGCGCCGCAAGCGCCCAAGGATGGACCCAGGAAGCAGGGATGCAGGGGCACCCTCGGGAGGGATGCCGATCCTCATTCTGTGGGTCGACGGTAGTGCACAGGCTCCAATCTCCGATGAGAGGCGTGCACATCGCTCCCGAGCCCAGGGCGGGCCTGGCCGGGGGCGGTGGACGCGGGAGCGACGAGAAGCGGGTCTTCTGCGCGCGACGGCATGGCTGAAGGGTACCCTTGGGAGGGCTGCCTATCCTCCTTCTGCGGGTCGACTGTAGGGTGCCGGGTCGCCAATTCCATGGGTCGGGTAAGGCACCCCCGAAGCCTGGCGCCAGTGCCGCCCGGATGTGGTGGCGGAGCGCGCAGTCTCTGAAACTGTCGCTGCTCCGCGCGTCTGAGTCCACGTGGCGACGAGACTGGCGGTCAAACAGCAGCAACATTGCACTGAAACAAATAAATGAGCATGCGCAAGCTTCCCTTGTCTTCTCTCTGCGGGCCTGGGCAGCCAGGCGCAACGATCAATCTCAATCATATTGGCCACCGTTGAGAGCTCGGCTGGTCGGCGGCTGAACGAGGGGTGCAAATCATCGTCCTCCCTAAAGAGCCGTCGCCACATCGTGCACTTGCCCAATCTCCGACAACCCCGACCTCACAGGAGGGGTGGGGTACTGAAAACATGGGGCTGGCAGTAACGATTCAGGATTCAACGAGGCCTGGAAGGTGGAAACATAACTGGGGGCAGGGGCGCATACAATACACTGACACGGTCGATCGGGCCAACCTGACCAATGGGTACGTGTGCGCTTGTCCCAGGGAACCTCCCGTCTAGCATGCGACTGAGGCGGTGAACAAACCCAAAACTGTTTCTTGAACAGCGACCACAACGAACAACAAACATTGTACCCCCCAAGCATCGGAAGGTATGCCCCCGACCAGAAGGGTTGTCACAATTGGACCGCAGTAGTAGCTGCTTTGAGACACAAGCGGCCCGCCATTGCACACAACGGGATGGTCCAACCTCAGGGTCCCGAAAGTGTTGGTGCAGGGCACCTTCGATTGCCCCAGTTGGACCGGAGGGAACAGAGGGAGGTTCCAAATCAGCTTGCCACACGTCATTTGGCACGTGCTGGAATATCCAGGCAGGTCACCGATGTTCTGAGCAATTTGGGTGACTGATGCAGTGGACTGCTTCACACCATCCAGCATTGCCTGGTCCTTAGAAATGCAGGGCAACACCGAGTTCCGCTTCGCTAAACGGTCGGCCTCTTGATCCCTATCATCATGCTCATCAGCAGCTGTGCGGCCGTGGGAGCGAGCTTTCGTGAGTTCTACGAGGTAGTTGCCTATGTCGGAGGCTACACGATGGACGTCTAAGGAGCAACGCTTTGCCCACCCACGGGTGGCGGCTTCAAAGCCCTGACCCCAGACATCAATCATGTTCTCACAGTCGAATGTAGATTCAGATTCGGGACAGGGTGCAGCATGCGTTAACTCGAAATAAAGCGCATACATCTCTGCACCTGGGACGTCTTGAAAAGGAGTGAACTGTATGTTGCAGCACCCATTCGCATCCCTGCATAAGAGCAACTACCCCAGCCAACCGAAATCGTGTGAGGATGCGGGCCGAAGATTCCCGAGCCATCTCTCTACGCAGGCGACGAGAATAGAGGCCCTCGTCACGGGTACGCAACATTACTGGCTTGGGGAACGGCGGTGCAGCACAAAGCGAAACTCACGCAGATGTCCAGACTGATTTTCCCTGAATTTCGCAAGGCGACGCCTAAGCGCAAGGGTTGGTCAAAACCATCTTCGGAAATCATCCAAGTTATGCCATCCCCACGGAGTGTGGAAAGCAGGATGCACAGGAACGAGACCGCATAGAGGGCATACATGCTTAAAATGTAGATCTGCAAAGAAAAAGGCTCCAAGAGCCTGGTGGTGCAACTCACACAATCCTGGAGTAGTCTTGTTTAACAAGGCCCTGATCAGGTCGCGGATAGGGGGGGCAGAAAGGTGGCTGAACAGCGGATGCCAGAGGCCTGCTGCTGCAGGCCCAAACATTCGCCGCGCGCGTCACTAAAGTCACTAGAAGCTCAAATAAGTCTTCCATTCAATAGGACAAGCCACAGACCAGCCAATGCGAAGCAGTTTAGCAACAAGCATCTGGTCAGGGTCTTCCAAAGCCGTCCAGGGGGCCCGGTGAGTGACCAATGGAGAAGCTTCCAGAAGAACACTACCAATACTGCCCCAACAAAGTGGAGGCATCCATCTAGAGACGGTCCAAAGCCGAACAACCTCGGATCAGTCACTCTTAACAGGGCGAGGTCCATAGTCACCGACCGATGAACTCCTGTTCCTACACACAGATGGTACACTTTTAGGATCTGCTTGATCTGACAAGTACTCGAACGAACGACGTCTAGTCCAAACGTGACCTTGGGCCTCAAGTTTGTACTCGCAATACCTTGTACACGAACATCTGCACGCTTTCGCTTGACCAAACGTTCAGCTAGAGCCAACATGGCTACAGATCGAGGTGGCTCCAAGTGCCCACGGAGCTTCCCAGAAAGTTGCCGAAGAGCCCCCCCACACAGGCCGAAGAGGCTGCCAAGAGAGCCCCGAGAGGGCTCCAGAGTGTCAGCGTCGTCTTCGTCGCGTCGACGACGCCGCCGTCGTCCCCCTTCAGGTTCGGCGGCACTGGCCGTAGGGCCTACCCAATAGGAGACAGCTGGAGGTTCAGACGAGGTAGAATCACGAGGAAGGAGGTGAATGAGAAGACGTGGGCCTGGCATCCTACAGCGTGCAAGCGCAAGCACGCGGAAGATGGGGGACAGGGGAGAGGAGCAGGAAGAAAAATTATGACCAGGAAGATGAGGAGGTGCGGTTGGTGACCGGGGACGGGCAAAGAGAAACAGTGCAGGAGGATGAAAGGAAGAAGCGTTAGGAGAGCGGGCAATGACAAGCTAGGTGAGCTAACGCCATAAATGACATCGTACCCCTCCCACCCCATCCGTCGCCGTTGGCCGGATGACGTGACGATCGTTCGGCGGATGTCATTGTGGACCTGGACGCCCAAATGACCCGATTGTGCTACGTGCATTTCAAACAGGGAGCTGTATACATTGCATGAATGGGAAGGTGGCGGATGAGCAGGAGGATGAGCAGGGGGGAGGCAAGGAGGATGAGGTACAGCAGCAGCAATAGCAAGACCAGGAGGAACACGAGGACCAGGGAGGGGCGAAATGGGGAAAGGAGATGTGTGACAACGACCGGGAAAGACTCGGATCCATAAGTGGTATCAGCGTTGGAGAGATATCGCCTTTTCTGAAAGACGGAGCCAAAACGCCAATCCTGAAATGAGGCCTACGCTGCAGCGACAGCACCATCTTGGAACACCAACAACGCTCCGACCGACAAAACCATGACACACCATTTCTCCATATCCTATGTGAAGGCCAAATGTGGGAGACACGACGCCCCGCTCGTTCAAAATCTGGGAGGGGAAAGAGACCAGTATTCAGATTGACTAGTTGTGGGGAAGGGGGGAGGAGAAGGACGAGGAGGTCTGTTTGGGAACAGGAAGCGAGGGACGCGAACAGAGGAGGAGGAGGAGAAGGAGGAGGAGGGAAGAGGAGGAGGAGGAGGAGGAGGAGGAGGATGAGGATGATGATGAGGAGGAGGAGGAGGAGGAGGAGGAGGAAAAGGAGGAGGAGGAGAGGAGGGAGGAGGATTTCCCTCGAGGGCCCCTGGGCAGAACATCACCACGCGGCCTCAGGCCGATCCTGCTGCATGAGATGCCTCCTCTCTCAGCCGAATCCTCTCCGCCAGGGCCGACATTCCAGGAGTCGAAATCAGGTCCGAGCGAGAGGAGGAGGAGGACTGGCCAGGGTCGGCTGCCTTGAGCAGGACATACTTGGCCGAGGCACGACAAGTGGTGC